ATTATTCTTTAGCTGTGTTTTTGGCATGTGAATTTCTTTTGTTGTTTATGATTCTGATATGAGAATTAAGTTGAAGTATGCTTCTGTTTTTATTATCGGTGCACCTAGATCCTTTCTTTATTGGTTATGTAAAGCTGGTTGGTACAGGGTTCAGGTTCTCTCGTTTAACATGGAGGGAACTGATGGCATCAGATCAGATATTCAGGAGTCCCACAGAGGCCCAATTCAGGTTCCAGTCAGGTACACTCAGGCTTCCTTCACTAAGTGGAGGCAGAATCTCCAGGGGCTCTCAGGCAGTCCTGTGTTCTCGGCCCCTATGCCAGAGAGAGGCCAGAACTCAGCACTCTCTGGCAGTCTGCTGAGATCTAAGCCACTACACCAGTGGAGGTTGAAACCCACCCTCTCAGGCTGTCTGATATAATGAAATCTTAACACATTTCTTTTGGTTACAAATCAGTTTGTTTCATCTATACAATGATAACTTTAAATTATGCTATAAAATAAGCTTCCAGGAGAGTAAGTGCAACAGAAAGACAATAGTATGGATGAAATATTAAATACAATATTGCTCATATAAGCAAATGAAAATGATTTACAAATATGCAAATTTATAATGGGCCCATTATTCCATATATTAAATGATAATAACATTTCTCATTCTTTCATTACAGCCCTAAAGCCAGTACTATATTTACGACATAGATGGACATTGACTGCTGGTATCTGGATTGCCAACGCTCCCAATAGCCTGGGCTTCCTTCTGGCAGATGCTGGTTGTGATGTGTGGATGGGGAAAAGCAGAGGAAATGTCTGGGCCAGAAAAACTTGTACTTAGACAAAGAGTCTAAAGAATTCTTGGCTTTTAGGTAGAAAAAGAATCTGTGGAGTAAATTTTCCCTTAAAACCATTTTAAACAATTTTTTTTTAGATTTATGTCTACATATATGTATTCACGTGTGTGTGAATGCATAGACGCCAAGGTCAACAAGTGTTTCTCAATTTCTCCACATTGTGGTTTTGAGACAGGGTCTCACACTGAACCTGGAGTTGATTGATTTGGCTAACCTGTCTGGCTAGTAAATACCCAGATATTCCTTTCTCCACCTCCTTATTTCATACACCACCACCTCACCCAGTTTCTTATTAAACTGGGTCCTGGTATCATGGGTTCTTGGGTATTAAATGCAGGCACTATGCTTTTGTGGCAAGCCCTTTGCTGACCGAGCATCTCCCCAGGCAAGTGTGTTAAAAATTTTAATGTCAATATAAATTTAATGAACTAGAATGAGCATTTTACTAAAATGTGTAACTACTGAATAAATTATTTTGTAAATATAGAGAAAACTTGCTAAGGGCTTATATTTTAGTTAATGTCAATTAGGAATTAAGATGAAAATAAATGTAAAATATGTAATCCTAGTTATCTCTGTACCACCCAAATATCTATCACTTTACCAATTTACTCATTGCATTTAAAAAACTTTATTAAGAACAGCACATATTTAATATGTACAGTTTCTTGAGTCTACACTTCTTACCCCATCATTCATGATTTTAACTTCTAGTAATGATCCTTCTATTTTTAAGGCAAAAGAGAAAGAAGATAAAAGCAAAAATGTAGATGGTTAATTCATGCCGGAAATCAACAGAAATTTAGTTAAATTTATTCCTGTCAGTTTAAAAAATAATCTTTGGGTTGGAGAGAAGGCTCAGTGGTTAAGAGCATTGGCTGCTCTTGCAGATACCTGGGTTTGATTCCCAGCCCCCCATGGCAGCTAACAACCCTCCATAACTCCAGCTTCAAAATAATCCAACACCCTCTTCTGTTTTGGCTGTTTTTTTTTTCCATACAGTTATGATGAAATGATACAATATGATCTCCCAGCTACCATAGATTTCATTCTGAAGAACGCGGGACAAAAGCAAATCTACTACACGGGCCATTCACAGGGCACAATTAAGGGTATGCTCTAAATTAAATTTGATCATATTATATATTTTTTTAAACATGAACAACTTCTTTTAAAAATAATTTCATTTTAGAAATCATACATATTAATGTATTTAGAAATATTCAGACAATTCAAATTTCTAAAACACTTAAAATGTGTGATAACATTTGCTTTATTTTTATAATAGACTGAGAATTTTGTTGTGGTTGTCATTATTGTTTTTTCACAGAGGATCTCATTATGTACCAGGCTGGACACAAATCCACATTTCTAATGACTTAGCTTACTGGATGATGGTATTACAGTTGTGCACAACTGTGCCTGGGTAATCTTATTTAAAACAACAGCAAGTGGAAACACTAGCCTTTATAATTTTCTTCTTAAACATCATTTATTGATATCATCATTTCAAACCAGATATTTAAACAAAGTGTTGTGTGTTAGAAGCACTTGGAATTCTCTGCAACTGGACTTTGAAGACGAAGATCGGACTATTTGTTTTCATGTCCTTATACTGCTTAACTAATGGAAAAAATGTGGGGCCCATTTTGTAAGTTTTTTTATAAAATGTTTTATTGTTTTATTTTATGTGTATGAGCGTATTGTCTGCATGCATGTAAGTGTATCCATGTCATACAATGCCCGTGGAGGTCAGAAGTGGCTGTGTGATTCCCTGGAACTGGAGTTAGAGATGATTGTTAGCCTCCATGTAGTGCTAGGTTCTCTGCAAAAGCAGCTAGAGCTCTTAACTGTTGTGTCATCTCTCCAGCCCCTGAAAAAGTCTTTCAATTTAGAATCTTTGAGCAGGTGAATTTTGCTGGACCAGTGGAGCTTTAAAAAAGCTTTACCTGTTATTGTTTCAGCTAATATGGAGCATGGTAATTTCCATAGTGAAAGTACAAGAAAGAATAGACCCCTCCAATCCTTCAGTCTACTTAAGAAAACATTTAAAGTTAATTTGTACATTCATTTGTTTGATATTTGCGTTAATGAATGCTTAGTGATATTCTTTTTGCCAGTAACACATCCTCCACTTTCAAGTCTTGCAAGCAAAACTATTTTCAAGCATTGCACTGTGTACTGTAAGGTTAGGAATCACACTAAACGGAAAGCTACAGCAAAAATAGAATGTGTTGATTTCAGATTCACCTGTCAGATATGTAGACAAGAAAAAGGGGCAAAGAGCTTCATGTCTACCAACTTGCTGGCCTTTTCAGAGCAAATTCCTGAAATCATGACATTTTAGGAAGCCACAAAAATAATGAATTCCTCATAAAAACTGTTGATCATATTATCAATATCAGCAGTCATAAAATACGATTTTATAAATTTATGTGTTCACACATGTTATGAAAGGGATTCAAGAGGCCAAAAGGAAGCCATAAAAGTTATATAGCACAGAAGGAAATACTCCAACCTTTGGAAAACTCTTTTTTTGGTCTTTTTGAGACAGAGTTTCCCTATAGCACCAGCTGGCTTAGAACTCACTATGTAGATCAGGCTGGCCTTGAACTCACAGAGATCTACCTGCCTCTGCCTCTCAAATGTTGGGATTAAAGGCGTGCTCTTCCATACCCAGCTTCCTTTGGAGAACATTTTATGGACAAAACATATTAGCCAGGAATGGCACCACAGGCCTTTAATACCAGCACTCTGGAGGCAGAAGCAGGAGGATCACTGTGAAATAGAGGCCAGCCTGGTCTATCTAGTGAGTTCCAGGCTAGCTGTGGTTACAGAGAGACCCTGTCTCAAAACAGAGCAAAACAAGAATCGAGGTGCACCTTAAATAGCGTGGGTTGTGTGGAAGATAACCTACTTAACTGCTCAGAGCAGGAGTCAAATGTGAGAAGAATCTATGTAAGTCTTCAATACACGCAAAATTTATTCACAATTACAAAAGAAAAATCAAATACCACCAGGTGGAACAGCACAAAAAAGAATATTCCTAGAACGTAGAATTCCAGAAGTGTAAAATTAGTAGTGAGCAGAGAAAATGTTTTATATTTCAGTATTATTTTTCTATAGAAACAAAACACTAAAAATCGTGGAGTATCTCGCTCACAATGAGAGATGACGTGAATGGAAGTAACGAATGACTAGGTAAGTAGTAAACGCCTTAGTAAATTGCAGGGTAAATCCTCAGAGACCAATCTGAAATGTCAGACAAAGAACAGACGTAGAATCTTAATTATGAACTCAGCAAATGACACAGGAAATCTGAAGCAGGACAGAGCCCCAGGGGAGTAAATCTTTGCTTTCATTTCCTTTCAGCTTTTGGAGCATTTTCAACAAATCCACAACTGGCCCATAAGACCAAAATCAACTTTGCACTGGGTCCAGTCACTACACTTAGATACACAAGTGCTATGCGCACTTTGGCTTACATCCTTCCACAAATGTTCAAGGTTTGAGTCTGTTTAGTCTATTGCTAGAAATAGCTGTAAGTTACAGGTTTCAATTTGAGAAAATGTCAATTAAGTTAGGAAGGAGATATGTTGGGTGCTGATTGTAATGCTGTTTCCCTCACTTGTCAGGAGTGCAGCTTTCTATGGTTGGGGCTGCATTCTTACAAGGTGCTGACTTCATTGGGTATGTTTTCCTTTTGACCCTTCTGCTTATTATCAATTTAGATCTTATGCAAATATGCATGCTGTAATTTTTCAATTTCACTATCATTGTATCTTAAGTTTTGCTCATTGTGTTTTCAATAAGATGGATGATTTTACTCTTTTAATGAATTCCATTCACAGTATTACTTTCTGTTCTTGAGTTCATTATTCTTTTATATTTTTATTATTTTATTTAATGTATATGAGTGTATTGCCTGCATGTGTGTGAGTGTACCAGTGTCTCTCCATGGACATCAGAGCGGGCATCAGATCCCCTGGCACTGGAGTTCCACATGGTTGTTAACTGTCATGTGAGTGCTGGGAATCGAACCCAGGCCCTCTGCCAAAGCAGTCTGTGCTCTTACCTGCTAAGTCATTTCTCCAGTTCTGAATTCATTTTTCTAATTATATGGCCCTTGTATAAATATAACAAAAAACTTTAGGAAATATGTTAATGAAAGGTAAATAAAAGTTTTCCGTCCTAGTGCTCATGGAACCAATAAGGAGAGTTTGTCACTAGGCTCCATTTTATGAAAGATTGTTGATTTGAAAAGTTGGCTAGACTATTTTGCAACCAACAAGTTGATAAATGTTTCACTGTATCCTAGTCATAAGATGATATACTTGGATTTCTATCTTAAAATAAGCTACCATGCTGGATATGGTGGCACACATCTTTAATTCTAGCATTTGGGAAGTAGAGGCAGGTGGATCTCTGTAAGACTGAGGCTACCCCGGTCTCTCTCCATAATGAGTTCCAGGTCAGCTGGGGTTACAGGGAACCGTATTTCAAAAAGACCAATTTAATAATAATAATAATAATAATAATAAGCTACCTAATTGGTATGGAGTAGTTTCTTGCTGTGACTCTATTTTCATTTTCCTAATGGCTAGTAGGCTAGTTTTTTTGTTTGTTTTTGTTTGTTTGTTTATTTTGGTCTTTTTGAGACAGGATCTCTCTGTAACCCCAGCTGGCCTTGAACTCACAGAGAGCTACCTGTCTCTGCCTCCCAAGTGCTGGGATTAAAGGCATGCACCATTATGCCCAGCCCATAATTTTCATTTGTATCCTTTCATCCATATAATGAATGTCTCTTTCAAAATAATAACTATTAGTTTTTTCATTTATGTTTCTAGTTATTTTTATGCATTTACATCTATATGTAGTTTAAAAAATATGAACACTTTCCATGCACAATGGCATATTCCTATACTCTAAGCACTGGGTGGGTTGAATTAGGAACTCAATTCCATTCTCAGTAACCTAGTGAATACTATTCTAGCCTGGGAAACATAGCAACACTGTCTCAGAAAAACACAAAATGAAAGAAAATAATATAGAGACAATACTATCATTTTGTTCTGTTCCCTTTTTTATAACAAACACTAATAGCCTGGATTCACAGGTATTATTGAAAGCAGAAGCAGCTACTTCCTTAATCTCACTCTGTAGACAGGCATTTTAGCCTTGTGAAAATGTACATGGTAGTTCTGGAGATCAAGTATTGAGTTACCTAGATCTTTTTCTTCTTTTTGAGAGACATGAAAGGAATTTTTTCCCTATGCATTCTTTCAGCAGTTTCAGATGTCAGGATCTATGGGAAGGCCTTTGATGCATTTTGAATTGATTTTTGTATAGTGGTAGAGTAATCTAATTTCATTCGTCTACATGTGGATATCCAATTTCTCCAGCATTAGTTGAAGTGGATATCGTTTCTCCAATATGTGTTTTTGACATGTAAAAATCAAGTGATTGTAGTTTTATGGACTTAATTATGAGTCCTCAGCTTGCTCAACTGATATACATGTTCATTTTTGTCCCAGTATTATACTGTTTTGAGACTATGGTTCTGCAGTATAACTTGAAATCTGTTACTATAATACCCTGAGCATTCCCTCTGGGTTTCTATGACTATCTAGGATCTTCTGTGCTTCCAGATGGATTTTAAGACTTTTTTTCCTTTTCTGTGAAGAATATCAATGTAATTTTGATCACCTTAATGTCAATTCTGAAAATATCTTTAAGAAATACAGCAATTTTCACAACATTAATTTAGCCTAGCACATGGGCAATCTTTCCATCTGACTATGTATTCCTTAATTTCTTCAACATTTGAATATTTTTCTTTTTTTAATTTATGTTTTTCTGAGAATTCCTTGCATGAGTTCTGTGTTTACATCATTTCCTCTCTCCCCTACAGTTTCTCCCATGTGCCCTGTCACCCCCTTCAGAACTCATGACCTCTTTTTCTATATAGAAAACACTCAGTCCATTTAGTGTTGCTCATATGTACATGTGTTCAGCACTGACAATGTAGGGTAGGATAACCTGTTTGGAGGCTCTTTCCAGGAGAAAAGTGATTCTCTCTCATAGCCATTGACTGCCTGTAGCCCACATCTAGATGTGGGACCTTGTAAAACTTCCGCTATCCACTTTGGCATATTGGCGGGTGCTGTCCTTCTGCAGGTTGTGTACTTCCTTGGTTAGGTTCATGCCTAATTACTTAAATGTTTTTGAGTTACTGGGAATAGGATATTTTTTCGTGATTTTTCTTTCTCAGTATGTTCAATTTGGGTATATATAAAAGCTGCTGATTTTTGTGTGTTGATTTTATATCCTGCTGCTTTTCCGAACAATGTTTAGTAATTCTGAGTTTTCTTGTGGAATATTTAGTCTCTTATAGAAAAGATCATACCATCTGCAAATATGGATAATTTGAATTCTTCCTTGCTTATTTGTATCCCATTTCTTTCTTTATCGTGACTTATTGTGTTATTAAGACTTCAAGGGCAATATAGAATTAGAATGGAAAACTAGATCATTGTCTCCTTCCTGACTTTAATGGAAATGTGAACTCTTCTCCACTTAGTATACTTGCTGTTCTAGGTTTCTGATAGATAGCCTTTACTTTTTATATTGAGGTATGTTCCTTCTATTTCTATTTCTTTCAGATTTTTTAGTCTTGTCAATTCAAAGGATATTGGTTTTCCTGAGTAGTTTTAAACCCATTCATTCCACTCTAATTGTTGCAAAACTGCTTGTTTACAAAGGCCAACACAGAACGGGTTGCTGTGTGTTTTCAGCATATTCCAAATATTTCAAAAGATCCCCTGGAACTGGAGTTATGGTTGGTTCTTAAATGTCATGTGGGTGCTGAAAACTAAACCTGGATCGTCTTCAAGAACAGCAAGTGCTCTTAACTGCTGAGCCATGTTTCCAGCACCTGGAAAACTTTTCTTAGTTTTTGTATAAAATGTTACCATCACAAAATAAATCACCACACACTTTAGCAATACTTTAAAATTCATTTTCTGTCTTACCTTCTTCTATCCATGCTTATCTTTGGGAAAACACATTTCTTATCTAATAAATATTCTCCAAATATGTCATTTTCAGATGCTTTTTGGTGAAAAAAGATTTTTTATCCATAGATAATTCCACTCATGTTCATCAATATATTGGCCAGCATCAGGAAATTGGAACAGTTTGTAGTAACTTACATTGCTATTTGGATATCATCAAAAACTACAAACGAAGTATGATTTCTGTTTTCAAGTCAATGTGTTTTTTTGTGTGATGACATATTAATAATTTTATATTATCATCTTCGAAGCTAAATATTAAATAAAATCCAAGCACAATTTGCCCGCCCAATATAGCACAATGTCTTAACTTGTTTAACATAATTCATATTCTAAATCAGGATGTATTTTACATATGCCTAAAACAAAGATATGGCTTTTGGGACAATTTTGTAGACATTGTATATTCAAGTCTATCTGAATAGTATTTGTACATGAATTTGAATATTTTTCATCTTTTTGTTAAATCTGGTGTTATTAATCTAATCATATATCCTCCATTTGAAGATTTCTTACAAAAAATATTTCTGTCAATTATAATCATGCACAAAAATATTTAGATTGCATGCTCTGGTCAAATCCTAGTTTTTCCAAGCTCATTTAACAAGTAGTTGAATCATAGAAGTAATGGTTTCACTATTTTGAAATTTCACGATCTTGTACATTATTGACAAACACACATGGTACTTCCCTTTCCCATAGAGTTGTCTAGATGTATATTTGGATGAGATTCCAGCAGGAACATCAGTTCAATGTACACTGCATCATTCACAGATACAACACTCCCTTCTTCCCTCCTTTTGACCTTTGTGTCCTTTTATTAATGTCTATGTGGTTTGTTGACAGAATAATCATTTTCAGTATTACTAATAGTTTCTACAATATCAAGAGGCAACACCAGCCTATGGAGAAAATAATTATGTAAAAGCTAAATTGTCTCATCTTTTAATCCACAGTATGAAAAATTTCTATTCAAAATGGGACTCTCACATAAATTTATTATGTAATACTAGCATCAATTTGGCAGGCTTTGGAGACTGGTGAAAGATGGAAGTTTTCTTCCATCCTTATTCAAAAACCAAGAACAAAAAGTCACACATGTTGTAGCCAAGATATTAAGGATTTAACAACCCCATCTTATTAATACCATTTGTTAAGATGTGTAAGTTGATTTCTACATTCAGGATGTAAAACAATTTTAGTGAATTAAAAAAAATCTCCATTCTACATATTTACCTTTTTAATATTTTAGGTAAGAGGGACTCTTCATTAAAGATTTCATGTATCTTGGGCCTCATTCACCCTCCCATCTCCCCTGCGGGTGTCTCCTCCTAGCCTAGGTCCTGTCCCATTCCTTGTCTTGGCAACCCAGACACCCAGAGAACCACCACTGCTTCCTGATCCTTTGCATCCAGACCAACCCAGTTCCTTCT